AACAGACATCAGGACATAATATCGACCCTATTCAAGGAATTTCCAACACCCCGGCAAGGCACAGTAGAAATTATATAAATGAATGGCGAAAACAAACAGTCATTCTAACAAAGGTCAGGACATCGTAACTGGACTGGCATACCTTTGCACCCAGTAATACCCCAAGAAAAGAATTTCTGAATTATTTTTTGACTATATTTCCGCATATTCAACTGAAAATTGCATTTGAACAGTGCGCTAACAGAGTATTTGTAGGAATAAATTTCACCCGTGAACAGGAATAAACCGCAGGATAAATTTCCTCTTATGGTCTAAAGTGCGGAGAGTTATTGAAAGATTATCAACATGAACTGTCGTTATGAAATTTGTAGCCGGCTGTGTTACCATCTACTGGAAGGGATATTGGTCTGAACTAATGATAGCAATCGAATAAGAAACTAAAACCCGCCATTACAGAAGAGATATTTGTGGTAAGGGTCGCGACTGAGAAAGCAATTAAAGTTGACAAAAGAGATATTCTAATCCGTAACCGTCAACCCATTTCGAAAGCCTAAACTATGATCTTTATCTCAATTTCTAACCTTAATCCCCTAGCCCTAACAGCACTATTAACCCTAAACCGAACGATAATACGATGGGGGACATTTAAGGAAGGCACGCTAGGGAATGAGTGGAAGGGGACGAAGGTTAGCTCAGGCCTACTTACATCATATTAGTAGATCGCTCTTACATAGAAAGACTAGGTAGAGCCACGTATACGTACATCTAAGACATCAGACACTTACGCGTATGTGGTCCCTGCGGCAAGTTGGCCGTTATAATTATGGCTGTCCATCATAACATCGTCGCCGGAACCAAGAAGCACATCTTCGTCCGACAGTGTCGCCGGTAAGTGAAGCCTCACCTCCCAACTTCCGTCGATGGGGTCCATGTAGGTCTGAAATAGGGCAATAACTTTAACCATTCATACAGCTAAACAGGTTGAAATAAGGGCGCATCGCTATGAGTTTCCATTCTCGGCATTATGGGAACATCAGATCTAGCTTCAAATGACCTTCAGGAGGATACAATTCTGAAATATTTGAGAACATATTTTGCTAACACCAGTTGGAAATGTTAACCCGAAGCATAAACAACCTCATTGTCATAATTTAGGTGTCCTTGTCGGTGCAGTAAGCAGCCTTACAGGTAGCATTCCTCAGTTTAACGTCATTAATTCAGAAAAAATAGAAAAAAAGCACCAGAAATGTTATCTTTCATATAATGGGTTTCTGTCAAAACATTTCGCCCCTCAGCTGTAGCACGAATGACTGGCCTTCACTTACCCCACCGACCATTTGCAGCACTTTGGACGATTCCGCAGGATTACTCGACACGGATGACCAGTTTGGACCCTCCGGGGGGTTGCCCATAGCAACCGGCGTAATCACTGCGGAGACGGCTTTGAGGTTGCCAACTGCGGGGACACCAAGCGTTGAGTAGGCAACACGGATCATTAGCTGACTGGATGGATCAGAGGGTGCCGTCGTTGGATGATCTATATCCTTTGCTAGGTCGGTAAGCATACTGTGTAGTCGTCCTATAGAAAAAAAAGGCAATCGGTTGAAAGCTATCGACCTAAGCAAACATAGCAGGAAGGTTATATTAAGCCACTTTGGAACTTTTAAA